AAAAACCATTAAATATTCAGCATCATGTCAAAGACACTTTTTTTTTTTTTACAATAAGATAATTATTACTTGTTTTAGGTTTTATGCTCTTTATACATAAAAAAAGGAAAATAAAAAATAAAAAACAAAGGTGTTATGCTCTTTATATTCGTCCTTCTTTCACCAGTAAGCCCAGTAAGCCCGATTCTTCTAAATAAGGAGGAGCCCATCAAAAGTTATAAACCAAAGAGCTCCAAGAGGCCCCTTATGCTCTTTTCTTTCATAATTTGGGCTACTAGCCCATACACTACAAAGAAAAAGTCAATTTTAACAGGCCCCAGAATTTTGGGCTTAAACCCAATTTTTTGAACCCAAGTCCTTCCCTGATATTAGAAACTTCCTCCATCTCCTCGCATGGGACAATCCTAAGGAACTTCCTCGATTCCTTAGTACGTAAATCATCTGCGTAATCGCCATCTGTTATGCATTGCAACATCTTACATTGTTTTTGTCCATGATTCTGTGTTTCAATTGGTCCCCACTTTTTCGTTTCAAATCTCCAGTTCCCATTTTCAGCTCATCTTAGCAGCTTTATTCGATCGTAAGTTCAAGATTATAGCTTTTGGTATTTTCTTCACTATGATAATTATTACTTATTGATTTCTCTTGTTGGGATCTTGTTTAACTTGATGGGTTTCTAATTTACCGAGATTTTAATTGATATTTCACCCTCCAAGTTCATAGTTTTTACAGAAACATCATTTTCTTTCATTTTCGAGCTTAAAAGAGCAGTTTTTATTGGGTATATTGTTGGAAGATTCAAGCTTTAACATTTTTCTGGATACCATTTTCGTGTTTTGCAATTTGGAAGATTTTCTGAGGTGATTGTGCATTTATGTGTGTTGTTAGTTTTGTGTATGATAAATATTACCATTGATCCTTTCCTGTTTATTCTTATAACCATGAGGCTAAGTAAAGATTGAATCCAAGGTTAAAAGAAGTAGTAATAAAGATACCAATGGTGAGGGACACTACGTACTATGATATTTTGGGTGTCGAAGTGGATGCCTCCTCAGCTGAAATCAAGAAGGCTTATTACCTCAAGGTGAGATTTTCATTTGATCCAGATCCATGACATAAAAAAGGTTTCTATTTAGTTTAGCAGAATGCTGTTCTTCAGTTGGCTCTATATGGACTTCAAAACAGCTACCATTGGTGGGGGAGTGGGCCCCAATATCAGGGGGCCCGGCCTCTCCGTAAACGGTTAAGTGCTACAGGAAGGACTGCACTTTACTTTCTGTTAATTTATGGTACTATTTTTTTTTCTACTTCTTTTTCTTTGGAAAGAGAGATGAGATTGTTGCTCTTCTTGGGAACAAGCCGTCTTAAGCTTCTCAGCCTGAAGAAGATCGACATTTGGTTTCTTATAGCACTTTCCTGTTGTTTGGTTGGATTTGTTTCTTGAAATATTGTCATGATGCCTCTGGATAGTGAAATGCTGAACATTGAATTGACATAAGGTTTATATTTCCGGTGTTTTCTCCTGCATATGTGATTCTTTCATGTGTTATTTTGTCCAGGCAAGATTAGTTCACCCTGATAAAAAACCTGTTGATCCCAAAGCTGCTGAAAGTTTTCAGGTAAGCTATCAAGCTTAAACTCCCTAGAATGGTAAGTCTTACCATACCATCAGTTAGTTGAATTTCTTCTACGGATATTAAACAGATTAAGATAGACCCCCCTTTTTTTTTTCTTTTTTTTTTGTAGAATCCCATAGCATAAATTATTCCAAGTGGAAAGAGGGATTTGCAAAACTTGCTATTGAAATAATATGTTAGAATGGCAGAGGGAGGGTGGGGGTTGTCCATAGAGATGACAAGGTGCCCTATTCATTCAGTGGCCACATAACAAGTTAATAAAGAATCAAGGGAATGAGGGATGTTGTGGATTTAGTTCCTTCTATATAGTCATTCAAAATTCTCAATAAATTGACTTGATGCTTTTTTCATAAAAAATAAAAGAAAATTTCATGGATTAATAGATGGCTGTATTTAATTTTTTTGGTACATTTGATGATAGGCTATACAAGAGGAGATAGTCCTCTTTTTTTTTCCAAATCCCTACTCACCTGACTTAAGGTTTGAATATGAAATCTCCAACTTGGAAATCTCAAACTCTTAACCATCCACCCACCCCAAGAGGTAGATGGCTCTGTTTTTGCCAACCAAGTGTGAAGCCTTAATTCTCCCTACTCCTTAGCAGCTAGATTGGTACTATATTAATAGTAATTTTTACCATATTTGATCTTTCTCCTGCATAATTTTGTTATTGTAGAAACACATTATCTGCTAAAATAGGTTGGAATATACGTGAGACACTATTGGGATGACCTTCCTTGTGTTCCTTGGTGATACAACCTAAGAACCATGTCCTTTTTTCTTTTTGGTACTCATTTTCCTTTTTCCAATGCTGGTTAAGGCTCTTGGTGAGGCTTATCAGGTTCTAAGTGATCCGGAGAAGCGTGGAGCATATGACAGGAATGGAAAGGAAGGAGTACAAACGTAAGTCTTTATGCTGTGATTGTAGGTTTGGGATTTGAGCTGTTCTGTTCTTGAAAATAATAGCTATGTGGTTGGTCAATTGGTTAACACTGTTTAGGATTCTTTTGGAACACTACCTTTGAAAAGCAACTCCCCAGTTAACCACTACTGTATATGTACTTGCATGAGAACCTTTATGTGCAATCCTAGTTTTTGTGTCATTGTTCTTTTTTCTTTTTCTTTTTCTTTTCTTTTTTTTCTATATATTATGCAATCAAATCATCGAATTCACTATTGTGGAAATGGTGAGAAAGCTTTAAGGTTGAATTTGAATTTGAAATAACAACTTGACTGCAGGTTGTTAAAATAACTAAAGTTAGTTAAAACATGGACATTATAGGCATGCAGAGGCTACAATTAGTTAAGATGTCCGCTTACCATGGAGAGGTGGAAAAAAAAATGTGGGTGAAATTCTAGAGTGGGCATGGCTGAGACTGAGAGCTAGAATAGGGCATCATTACTATTTAGAGCTAAATGGTTTGAAAGCATTCATTTACTCAACCTCATTGAGTTGGAACCAAGGTGAATGATGTGAAGAATTCATGTAACCAACCCCATCTTGTTGGGACTAAAGATTGCATGAGAGAGCATTTATATAATCCTTGCTCACCCACTGTGTTTAAATGAAGGAAAAGAAAGAAAACAATTAGATTATTAGATTCTGATATAGTAATTAAATATTAAAATCTTTTCAATACATACATGATGGAGACTGCCTGTTCATGATTCCAGCGGAAAAGTGAGAAAGATTCAGTTGTTTAAGTAGTTTCTCTTTTGTAGGGAGTCCATGTTGGACCCTTCAGCTGTTTTTGGGATGCTTTTTGGAAGTGAATTCTTTGAAGATTATATTGGACAGCTAGCGTTGGCCAATCTGTCATCTGCTGAGTCTGAAGTTGAGTCACAGGATGTTGAAATTCGAAAGCTGAAAATTCAGGAAAATATGAAGGTTTAGACCCTTGTTTTATAACCTATCTCACATCTGTTGTTTTCTACATTGCTAATGCACTAAGTTTTTTTCCCTCTTCTCTGGTATGCAGGCATTTCAGAAACAAAGGGAAGAAAAGCTCATCACATTACTGAAAAATCACCTTGAACCTTATGTTGAAGGTCAAACAGAAGAGTTTACTCAATGGGCAAATTCAGAGGCAGGACGACTTTCTGCAGCTGGTAAGCCAGTACTCAATGGAA